CCCCAGGACGCAGCCGTGTGTACTCGTGGTTTGTACTCGTGGTTTGAAACTGGACTAATCGGGGACCTAGTCCCCCCAAAAAGACTTGGGCCCCAAACATAGGGGTTTGAGGCAGGGAGCCTCACGCCTGCAAAACGCAGCTTTCATTGCCCCCAAGATAGAGAAGCTGGTCCAGGGCTCTTGCTTTCTGTTGATCCTGGGCATTTCCATGAGTGCCCCGAGCCTGGGACGAGAACAGTCTCTGTTAACGGTGATCCCTGGGCAGGCTGCCTGGTTGCTTTGAGGTAGAGAAGCCCCTGGTAGCGCAGCAGAAAGGTGGGTGGGCTTTCTCTGAAGAAGGCACAGTGCGGTCCAGGTGAGCGAGCATCAGACAAACCGTGGAGGTCATAAAATCTGTGGTGTTTCCTTGGCAGAGGTTTTGGTCTAGAGAAAATAGCTTTTTCAGAGAGAATACTTCTCTCTCCGAGCAGAGAGAAATACAAGTTTTACCAGCATCTTTTAGTATGGTTTTTACTTTCTGAACTGTTAGGATTTTTTCAAAGTTGTAGTAAAAATACTTTAGGCTTCTATAAAGCCCTTCTTCTGAGGAGCGCTCTCTCTCTCTCTCTCTCTCTCTCTCTCTCTCTCTCTTTTTTTCCCCCTTTGACTTTCCTGAATTATTTGGGGGCCCTAAAGTATTCATATGTGTGTGTTGCCATCATCAGTTCAACTTCTGTCATCATTAAGTCTTCCTTTCCAGAGGTTTTAGGCAAGGTAGTAGGCAGCTCTCTTTTTGAGTTGACTTGACATGACAGCTTTTCCTGGAGTCAGAAACTCAGACCAATTTTGGGGTACCAAGGCAGGATCTGTGGCCGATCAGCCAAGTTTTTAGTAACTTATATGGAACATGACTCTCTGGGTATAGAAAAAGCGCTCCTTTTGTGGCATCATCCAGGCCTGAAAATGATGTGGGACAAATGGCAGGTGTCGTGTAGCAAAGTCTAGATCCAGAAGGGGCAGGAAACCTTGTTAACACTGGAGTTACCCCTGGTAGAGACCAGGTGGTACCCAAAGTAAAGAATCCACCCTGGGTGACCTGGGGGCCCCTCGAGTGATGTAAGCCTAGTCACTCATTCACTGTGTCAACGTGTTCAGGTGGCTGGACTCTGCCGGGTGCTGTGCTAGATTCTGGGGAGACAGAGATGGCTCAGAGGGGTTTCTTGCCCTTGATTAGTTTACAGTCTAGTAGAGGGAAGGTGGCAAAGAAAATTAAGTATTACAGGTGCTAGAAAAGAGGAGGGCAGAGGGACCCAAAGCGTGTAATGGGAGGAGAGCGAGAAAGCCTTCGTGGAAGTGAGGCTTGAGCCGGGGCTGGAAAGACCACGGGAGCTTAGCGGTCTCAGGAGTTCTAGGCAAAGAACACAGGCAAAGCACAGAAGAGCAAAGCAGCCTGGTGGCATTCAGGGAAAGGCGGTTTAATTTGCGCACCGTGACCGTGACAGGGGCTACAAAGAAGCCCGGGGAGAGGAGGGTAGGCAAGGGGTCTGTCACGGGGCAGGCCGCGCTCACTGCGTATTTCCTTCTTTTTGGACCATCTCAGTTCCTTGGTTCATGTTTCGGCAGAAGGGCGCCTGGCTTTGCTTCTCTGTCTCTTCCCTCTTTATAGGAATTCTGGGTCATGAACACCTCGATCCAGAGCACGATCATTCTTCTCATTGAGCAAATCGTGGTAGCTCTTGGGGGCGAATTTAAGCTCTATCTGCCTCAGCTGATCCCACACATGCTACGTGTCTTCATGCATGACAACAGCCCAGGCCGCATTGTCTCCATCAAGGTGAGTCCATGAGGGCGTCCTCTAGAGAGATTGCCAGCGTCCCTCACAGTCCGGGGATGATCAGCTAAGAGCCGAGACCCTGCTCTGAGTGACAGGGTGATGCTCTATCCGAAAGAACGCTGGTTCCCGAGGCGTGCAGTTAACAGGATGTTTACAGTCCTCCCTCGATTATCCTTGTGTTTTGTCTCCTTTCATGGCTTATTCGTGGTAAATGTTTTATCCCACACCAGTTTTCTCTGTTGTCAACCAGCTGATTCCTTATCAGTTGAAATAAGCTCAGAGAAAGCAAAACAGCCCCTAAGCAAAATGAAAGAGGGGGGAAGTGCTACCAAAAGAATGTATCTCAAGACCACTTACTGAAGGCCTTTCGAGTCCCCACAGAATTTGGAGTTACCTAAACCGTCACCCCCCTCCGTGTGCTTAGATGCGTGGCGCCTGCCTGTGTTTGTTCATCACCAGCCTTCTGCTCCCTCTCGCAGCTGCTGGCTGCCATCCAGCTGTTCGGCGCCAACCTGGACGACTATTTGCACTTGCTGTTGCCTCCTATCGTGAAGCTGTTTGATGCCCCTGAAGTCCCCCTGCCGTCCCGCAAGTACGCCCCTGCCCTTTGGGACTAACCATCACTAACCGCAGTTAAGCCTTTCATGTTCTGTTGAAAATGTCCTTTTCTTAAGTTCCCAGGCCATCTTTCCATTTGTTGTTGTTGTTGTTGATACCTCAGCTCCCTTTATTTTAGCTTAGAAATGTCCCAGGTTGATGGAAATCTTAGCTGTCCCCATCCCACTGGGATATATGTTGGATCCATGTCATGTGATACCGGAGAGGCCATTCCTTCCTGTTTGGTGCTGTTAAGATAACCCTCAGCCACTACTCGCACTTTAGGACCGTATGTTAGCAGCTACTGTCTGTTAACAATTGCAGGGCAGCGTTAGAGACGGTAGACCGCCTCACAGAGTCCTTGGACTTCACTGACTACGCCTCCCGGATCATTCACCCGATCGTTCGAACCCTGGACCAGAGCCCGGAACTGCGTCCCACCGCCATGGACACGTTGTCTTCGCTTGTCTTTCAGCTGGGGAAGAAGGTGAGGCCGCACCCCTGTGTGAACGTGCTCTTCTGCCCGGCTTTGGGAAGACGACCTTCTCTCTGAAGGTCTCTATATGTTAGTCTGTAGGTCTTAGCAACTGTCAGAGAACTGAAAGTTGTTTGCTTTTTTTGTTCATCTGTTTAGCAAATATTTCTTGAGCCACCTCTGTGGGCTAAGTGCTGTTCCGGGGGTAACGCAGTAAACAGAATGGTGTCCTTGTTCTCATGGAGCTTAGATTCCAGTGAGGCAAAGCTAATAAGCACAGCCTGTCTCATAAGAGCATAGAGTGTCAGTGGGGGAGGGATGCTGTGTATTTAGGGTAGACTGCGAAGGCCTCTCTCCTGAGTTGACGTTTGAGCAGAGATGTAAACATCAAAATCCGAGTGAGCCCACAGGGTTGGATCCCAGCAGAAGGAGTGGCAAATGCAAAGGTGTGAGGAGGCAGCATGCTTGAAGGGTCTACAGAATCACAGAAAGGCGTGTGTCTTCAGAGGAGTGAGCTTCAGGGGAAAGGCCTTGGAGTTCAGGTCATAGAGATAAGGCAGTGGGGCACAGAGATGCAATAGGCCAGCGGTTCTCAGATGTCCCTGGACAGACAGTGTCAGTGTCAGTTGCCAGCAGTCTGTTAGAAATGCAGATTCCCGGGCCTCTGCCCAGACCTGAGCCAGAAACTGCCTGTGGAGCCTGGCAGTCCCTGGTTTCATAAACCCTCCAGGTTATTCTGCTGCTCATCAGAATTTGCACATCACTACCGTGGGTCATAATACGTACTCTGGCTTTTACCCTAGGCAAGTCTAGAAGTCTTTGCAGGCTCTGGAGCACAGGGATACTGTGATCTGAGCTGATTACACTCAGCGCCGTGTGGAAGAACAGACTAGGCCAAGCGGGGGAGCAGAGAGAGCACACAGGCCATCGCAGGAGCCCAGATGGAAGATGCTGGGGACTAGCAATGTAGTGCGTGTGTGCGTGTGTGAAAGAGACAGAGAGAAATGATTCTTCTGAATAACACCAAGCCACCCCAAACCCAAAAGAACTAGCTATAACATAGTGGTGGTAATAATCCTTTCTCTGCTTCCCACTCTTCGGAGTGGCATCTCTGACCTCTTCCCTCTTCTCTCTCAGTACCAAATTTTCATTCCAATGGTGAATAAAGTCCTGGTACGACACCGAATCAACCATCAGCGCTATGACGTCCTCATCTGCAGAATCGTCAAGGTGAACTGCACTTTCTTTCCGTTTCGGAGTCCCCCGTTGTCTTTTCTCGTTGGTATTCACGTGGTCTTAGCTGTGGGAGCACATCTAGCTTTTTAGTTCCGAACCGGCGACGGGCAGCCCATTTCTGTAAAGATAGCCAGTTTTGCTTGGCCCTCTAGGCGACCTGGGCTCTGATGCAATGATTCTGCCCTGCCGCCCCGGCTCGCAAGTGGCTGTCCGCGTGTGGACGGGAATGAGCCCGGCCACCTGCAGGTGCGCTTTTGCTTGCGGTCACCATAGCGTGCTTCTCTAGCAGCTTGCGTGTGTTACACGAAATCCTCATCTTCCTTTGTTTGTTCTTTTTCCCAACCATCGGAAAATGAGGAAACTCTTCTTGGCTGTAGGGCCAAGCAAAGCCAGGCAAGGGACTGTTTGCCACCCCTGCTCCTGACACTTTGTCCCTTTGATCACTGCCCCCAGTTGTTGGGGCTTCGCCAGCTGCGTGGCTCATACTACGGAGTCCGTGCGGTCAGTGTGGCCAAGAGTGACCAGAGGAGATGGGTCTGCAGTAGGGAGTATAGCCGACCCGTGGTTCATTTTGTCCATGCGTTAACTTTTTCCTTCTTGTTGAGGTCCTGATGTTTCCAGAAGGTGGGACCTTCCTGGGGTTTAATTAAGGGTGTTTTCCAAACTGGGAGGAGCTGCAGGGTTTTTCTGTGAATCTCTGGTTGCAGGGATACACCCTTGCTGATGAAGAAGAGGACCCTTTGATTTACCAGCATCGAATGCTGAGGAGTGGCCAAGGGGATGCGTTGGCCAGTGGGCCGGTAGAAACAGGACCCATGAAGAAACTGCATGTCAGCACCATCAACCTTCAAAAGGCAAGTCCATGCTTTCTGGGGGGACTTGGCAAGGAGAGGCCTGCTCTTCTCTCTTGTCTAGAACTCTTAGCTCTTGCTGCCACCGGCGTAAAACAACCAAAGACCAGCCCAAGCGTTTTTCTGAAACTCTAGGTACCATGAACGTAGGTCATTTTGTCTGTCCCTAGGTGTCCAAATTACACATTTTTTTTAATAGAGGGTAAATGTAGAACAAAGTTCTAAACTTCCTTGGAGCTTTGGTAGAGTCCTTCGTTGTGAGTAACATTCTCATCTCTTACATGACTGGAACAAAACCAGTGAGCTCCTTAGTTAGCACCGAGACTGATGCAGGCCCTTTAAAGCGGGGCTTCTCGGCCTCCCGAGACTCACAGGGCTCGCCGAATGCTGGCAGCTGGTGGAAGATACTTGCTCAGACTCAGGCGGTCCAAGGTCAGGCCTACGTTCTGCATTTCTACCAGAGTCCTATGTAAGGCCACTGCTGCTGGTCCACGGACCACATTTTGAGTAGCAAGCTTTTTCTTTTTTTAACGTTTCATTTTAGTTTTGAGTGAGAGCGAGAGCGAGCAGGGAAGGGGCCTGGAGTGAGAATTCCAAGCAGGCTCCATGCTGTCAGTACAGAGCCTGATGCGGGGCTCAAACTCATAAACCATGAGATCGTGACCTGAGCCGAAGTCAGACACTTAACTGACTGAGTCACCCAGACACCCCCAGCAAGATCTTTTAGATCTTTGCAGACAAATATCGAATTCTCTGTGCTGACAAAAGCCTGGGATATAACCAGTAGTCTCACCATATATGCCACCAGCCATCCACTTAAAAAATAGGCGGGTTCAAAGCATCACCAGTCGATCAGAGCAGAGTAATCGTGACGTTCCTGACTTTTAAATACATACACCGGGTTGCTTATTTCCCACGTTTTGTATTAGTGTCAGTGCTTCTGGAGACTTTAAGCAGTCCCTGTTTGGACTTCACCATCATAGGAGTCTTCATTCATTAGCAGTTGCCCCACAGCAGCTGCCCTTCAAGTGTGGCATGGACCGAGATAAAGAACTGGGCAGGATTGGGTCCCAGCTGCCCTGTTCTCTGCTTTTGGCCCAGCCCGTAACGATTTGAACACGTGTGTGTGTGTGTGTGTGTGTGTGTGTGTGTGTGTGTGTGTGTGTATGTGTTGACACACAGCTTGGGACCACTGAGGCCTATCACTGACTGTTGAGCCAGGCTTCTGCACCCGCACAGCCAGCTATAAAGTGACCCCTGCTGAGAAATGTTGGATGATCCGAGAGGGAGGTGGTGAAAGACCCCTGGGGCAGGCGTGACGCTGCTGTCCCTCTGTGGAGTGTGTCCTGCTAGCCCGGGACTCCAGGAGAAGGAAAAGGTCACCAGTCACCCGGCACTCCCGGGCAGTTGTCGAGGCCACCCTGCTGACACCTCACACTTCAGGGAGGGGCCGGGCAAAGAGGCCAGATGCACATTTCCACCCAGATGTGTTTTCAGCCCGCCTGGGTTCAGAATGTCCTTCCAAGCAGGCAGCTGTCCACCTTCTCTTAGAGCTTTGTTCAGGCTATTTTAGGAAATTCCCCAGTAGTCTAGTTTGCTTCCAGGAAGGCTTGCTTGCTACCCAAGACTTGGAGAAAAAAGCGTCCCCCTTGCCAAACAGAAGGAAGAAAGAGCCTCTAGTTTATCTCACCTGAGAGAACAGAGCCAGTCCAGAAGGCCTCAGCAGGATCTCCGGCGCGGACTCTCAGACCCGCTTGTGCTTCCCCGTACTCGCGTGCCGAGCGCTCGGGGTCAGCGCGGCCCCTGCTTTCAGCCGCTTTCAGAGCGACAGTGCGCCACCTCGGCCATCTTTCTACTGGCTGTGCTAATAGAGGAGTTACACGGGACCAGAGATAGAGAAATCATTCGTACATGCCTCTAGGATGCCCGCCAGGATTTTCAGCAGCTTTACTGTCATAGGAGAGGCTGTCTGGGCTTACGTTCTAAATGAATGAGCTGATGTCCTGTCAACATGCGCCAGCGTCACCGGCTGAGGCAGTCCACGGCGGGTGGCGGCAGAGGGACGGTGGCAGGTGTCAACAGTTACTACAGACCCTAGAGAAGCAAGAGTGGGTTATGTTTTCAATGAAAGGCCCATATGGGGGACTTGGCCTGTCTGCTAGATTGCGCAGTTGTCCGTGAAGCTAAGCTTTCCAAGCACTCAGTTGCTACCATTTCTCAAACGCTAACCAGAACGATAGCAATAATAACTACCGACATTTGTTGAGTGCTTTCAACGTGTCAGGCACTGGTGCGAGCACTTTATGTACATTAACTCATTTAACCTTCACCCTATGAGTTAGGTGCTGTCATTGCTGTCACCACTGTACAGACATGGATGTTGAGGCCCTGAAAGGTTAAGTAATTTATCCAACGTCAGCTGGTAGTGGTGGAGCCAGGATTTGACCTGGGTGTCGTGACTACAGAGTCAAGTCTCTTAACCACCATGCTGAATCACCTCCGCCTTACCCAGGCTCGACTTCACGTCATTGGAGGGAAAAGACATTAGTGATCCTCCCTTTTGTATGTCCTCAGCTTTTAAAATGCCATGCACCGAAGGGGCGCCTGGATGGCTCAGTGGGTGCAGCATCCAACTTGGGCTCAGGTCATGATCTCACGGTTTGTGGGTTCGAGCCCCACATCGGGCTCTCTGCTGCCAGCACGGATCCTCGCTTCAGATCCTCTGTCTCCTTCCCTCTTCCCCTCCATTCCCTGTCAAAAATAAATAAACATTAAAAAAAAAAATTTGAAGGGGGAGGGTGCCTGAATGGCTCAGTCAGTTAAGCATCTGACTTCAGCTTAAGTCATGATCTTGTGATTCATGAGTTCAAGCCCCGCCTCGGGCTCAGAGTCTGGGGCCTGCTTTGGATTCTGTGTCTCCCTGTCTTTCTCTGCCCCTCCCCTGTTCGTACTCTGTTTCTCTCTAAAAAATAAATAAAAACATTTAAAAATTTTTTGGAGGGGAGGCACCTGGGTGGCTCAGTTGGTTGGGTGTCCAACTTCAGCTCAGGTCATGATCTTGCAGTTCATGAGCTCGAGCCCCATATCAGGCTCTGTGCTGACAGCTCGGAGCCTGGAGCCTGCTTCGGATTCTGTGTCTCCGCCTCTCTCTGCCCCTCCTTCGCTCCTACTTTGTCTTTCTCTCTCTCTCTCTCTCTCTCTCTCTCTCTCTCAAAAAAAATAAATGCACATTAAAAAAAATTTTTTTTAAATGCCATGCACTGCAGAGCAGCTGTCCAGAGATCTTTTGTGTAGGGAGGAAGCCACAAGCCTCTGGATAGAAAAGAACTTGATGCTCCCATTTTGTTCAATAGAACAAGGTCTAAAAGTCAAGTAAGTAGTGTCAGTCTTCTTCCGGGTTCAGGGTTCTCATTGTACGATCATTGAGAATCATGCACGTAGTTTTTCAGTTTGTCTCGTAACATCTCTCTTTTAGTTTCTGACATAAAATAATAGTTTATATGATGTCACCCACTGATAACTCATCAGAAGCCACTGCAGGTCTCCAGGTGACCCCAGGGAAGTGAGAGGTTGAGTTGTTGATGGTTAGGTGGTGTAGCACATGGGGATGTCTTTCATTCCCTGGACAATTTCGCTTGAGAACCTCTGCTCTAGTTTACTCAGTTTCCCTAGTTTAGGGAAGATCCATGTGTCTGTTCTGCCAGAAAATCTTTTTTTTTTTTTATTAAATTTTTTTTTAATGTGTTTGTTTTTTTTTTAATTTTTAGTGTTTATTTATTTTTGCGAGAGACAGAGACAGAGTGTGAACAGGGGAGGGGCAGAGAGAGGGAGACACAGAATCCGAAGCAGGCTCCAGGCTCCGAGCTGTCAGCCCAGAGCCCGACACGGGGCTCGAACTCACAACCCATGAGATCGTGACCTGAGCCAAAGTCGGACGCTTAACCGACTGAGCCACCCAGGCGCCCCTTGAATGTTTATTTTTGATAGAGAGAGAGAGAGAGAGAGAGACACACAGAGCATGAGTGGGGGAGGGGCAGAGGAAGAGGAAGACACAGAATCTGAAGCAGGCTCCAGGCTCCTAGCTGTCAGCACAGAGCCCGACGCGGGGCTCGAACTCCCGAGCCATGAGATGATGACCTGAGCCGACGTCAGACGCTCAACCGACTGAGCCACCCAGGTGCCCGTGGAAAATCTTCTAAGAATATATTTTGGGGGTGCCTGGGTGGCAAGCTCATTTAAGTGTCCAGCTCTTGACTCGGGCTCAGGTCATGATTTTGAGATTTGTGGGATCAAGCCCCATGTTAGGCTGCGCACTGATGGCGTGGAGCCTGCTTGGGATGTCTCTTTCCCTCTCTCTCTCTCTGCCCCTCCCCAGCTTGCACTCTCTCTCTCTCTCTCTCTCTCTCGCTCTCGCTCTCTTTTTCTCTCTCTCTCTCAAAAAAATAACATAAAAATTTTTTAAGGGTATGTTGTAAAAATTGGGCTAGGCCAGTTTAAAGAAATGTCATTTTGATAATAATAGCAATCATTTTTTGCTCTTCCCTTCCAGCCGGGCACTTTAGGTATTTTATCCCTTGATGCAGAAGACTGAGGCTTAGATGCAACACAAGTAATTTGCCCAGAGTGCTACACCTGCCGAGTGGCAGATCCAGGATTCCCACTGGTGTGCCTGACTTCGCAGTTACAGGTGCTCACAGGAGCGCTAACTTTGTGCCAAGCACTGGTATAAATCTCTTACACATATTCAACCTAATTGATCCTTAAAACACCCTATGAGGTGGGACCTATTGCCCTCATTTTACAAGTGAGGAAACAGGCACAGAGAAGTAACTTGCCCGAGGTCAGACAGCCAGTGAGTTAGATAACAGCCGTTTAAGCTCAAGCTGCCGAGCTCCAGAGGCTGGACCTTCCCGCCCCGCTCCCTGAGCTTCCCCTGGTCATAACCCTTCGTGCCTGGAATGCTCAGAGTCTTGAGGAAAGTTGGAGGGAATAGATCAGAAAGTAAAAATTGGATCCGCTCTATTCCTCCTGTCCCATTCCGCCACGGTGCCGTGCACCCTGGGCTCAGGCTCGCCCGATCGTAACGTGGTTCACGGTAGCGTGAACCTGAGCGTTTTCCCTCTCCCTGTGTGACCCTCTGCTGTCAGGTGGGCCAGTGTCCTCATGCAGAGGGCCCAGGGCCCGTCACACACTGCAGGGGCCGTTAGGCTTTGTTGAACGCACCCTGCGTGTGACGGCCCCGTCCGTCATGGGTCTGTAGAGCTGTTGGCTTTGCTGATAGAGGTAGGGTCCGGCACAAATGAGTTGTAAGACGGTCTTTTTCTTTACCGTGCTATATTCCGAAGGTTGCCGCTTTTGTTTTGTGGCTGCTAATTGGCCGTTGCTCTTTTGGATTTGCGCTCTGAGGGAATTTGGTCACGGGAGGTAACGGCTTCGTAAATCAAAGACAGAATAATCATTGAATAGATGCGGGCTCTTCGCAACTGGCCCTTGAAGCTGATGCGTTTCCGTTGTCGCCTGGGGATCGCAGGCCTGGGGAGCCGCCAGAAGGGTGTCCAAGGACGACTGGCTAGAATGGCTGAGGCGGCTGAGCCTGGAGCTCCTGAAGGACTCGTCTTCACCTTCCCTGCGCTCGTGCTGGGCCCTGGCTCAGGCCTACAACCCGATGGCCAGGTATGTCGTGGCCGGCCGCCCTCCTCCCCCACTTCAGTGCGGGATCAAGAGACTCAGCACAGAGAAAACCATGTAGAAGTTCCTTCTTATCAGCGGTAGCAGTAGAAGGGGCCGCTGTTTTTAATTCTGCCAACTCGTGGTGGAAAAAAATAAAAAGGCAACTTGAACGAGCTCACGTCACAGGAAAAGCACCCACCTTAACCTTGCTGAGATTTAGGTCCAGAATTTTAATTACAACGTCCTTTACAGCTCGGAAGACAACGATGTAACGGTTTACTCTAACTGCTTTCCGATAATAACGATACTCTAATTCTTTACCGCTGCATTACACATCACCCCAGAACTTACTGGTCTTAAACGACGACAGTCATTCGTTTTGCTCATGAATCTGCAGTTTGGACGTGACCTGTGGGGACAGCTCGTCTCTGCTTCAGTGTCAGTGGGGCTGTTTGTCCGGGGGTCAGAGGACCCACTTGCAAGGTGGCTCACCCACACGTCTGGCAGGTTGGGGCTTTTTTTTTTCTTTTTTTTTTTAATGTTTATTTTTGAGAGAGAGAGAGAGAGAGAGAGAGAGAGACAGAGCATGAGTTGGGAAGGAGCAGAGAGAGGGGGAGAGACAGAGACCGAAGCAGGCTCCAGGCCCGAGCTGTCAGCAAAGAGCCCGATGTGGGGCTCGAACCCACGAACCGTCAGACCACGACCTGAGCCCAAGTCGGACACTTAATCGATTGAGCCCCCTAGGCGCCCCGTTGGAGCTTTTGAGTGGGAACTGCTCTGGCTAGGAGCCTTGGTTCCTCTCCGTGTGGCTCATTCTGTGGGGATCGTTCACAGAATACTGGCGGGTTCAAGACCGAATGTCCCCAAGGGAACAAGGCAGAAGTGTATGATATTTTTATGACGTGGCCTTGGAAGTCACACAGTGTCACTTCTGCCACACTCTGTAGTTCAAGGCAGTCACAGAAGCCCGCTCACATTCAAGGGGAGGAGATTATGCTGTCCATCGACAGGAGAGTAGGAAGATTCTAGGAGAACATGTGGAAGAAGAGAGACTGTGGCAGCCATCTTTGAGAAATAGAATTTGCCATAAAAAAATACTGTTTTAAGTAACAAGTCTCAGCCATTGAAGATTTGGTTTATAAAAAGTTTCACCGCATGTAAAAGATTTACAGTATAATGTAAACGAACGAAATGGAATACATGATGGTGCATGTGATTTCAACTATTAAAAACACTTGTACAGAGGGAAGAGATTAGAAAGTAATACAGCAGTGATTAAGTAGGAAGGCCTAAGGAGTATTTTTGTTAATGTTTTTCTGTTTTCCAGATTTTTCTATGACGGATAATTATTTATAATGGGGCATAAAATGCTATTTTTTATGCTTTAAAAATAGTTCCTAGGATTTCCCTGGTCGCACAGTGTGCAGATTTCACATGCTCAGCTGATGGAGTGTATCTCTCTTCTGCCCCAGGTCATGTTCAAACACAACGTCATCCAAAAGAGGCTTGTGATAAAACGTGCACGTGTGCGTTTATCACTGTAGTGCCAACTGTGTGCATTTGGCCTTGGATGTAGGTCAGAAAGTTTATTTCTTAATTTACACGGGACTTCTTTTGGTCTTCGTGTTATCCTTTGAATTTCACATTTTGTTTTTTCCAGAAGATTCCAAAATTAGATACTTGGTCTGGTTTAACCTTTTTTAATGTGTAATAAAAAGCATATGTAGAGGCATGAAGTGCTCAACCCATCCATTATAAGCATATCTTATAGTTTCCAAGCCCCTTCCCCCAACATTCACCACAAAAGGGCATGGGATTAAAGTTCAGATGTCGTCGGGCACGGCAAATATGTCTGTTCGTGTGATGCTTTGATGATTTAAAGTAGTCGTAGTGATCTTAGAAATGACACCTCTGGTTCCAGGTCTCCAGTGGTGAGGTTGGCGTAGGGGATCCTTCGGGATTCTATTCGCTAACGCTTCTAGTTTCTTAAGTCCTGTTGTGTGTCTGTGACCATTCAGCTAAGGGTTCTGGTCGTGTTTTGAAAAGCAGTCACAGGTGCTGCCTCTGCCGCTTCCGATCGTAGGAATTTGGACATTACCTGAGAAGGATCCCAAGAATCCTTTGGAGATGATCATATGCTGAATCGGCTAATGCCAACTTCTGTGCTGGAAGTCCCCTTTCTGTTCGTTCCCCCGCCCACTGAAGAGAAAAAATGCGAACTCTGCTAAGAAACATGCCTGTGAGACAGGCTATTGCCCCTTGCACCCCCACACGGCTTGCTGTGCGCACAGCGTCTGTGCCTGCGCTGTAAATACAGGAGTCACTGGCCACGTGTGCTTGCACGAACGGAATTAAAATTAAACAGAACTTAAAATTCCGTTCCTCAGGCACACTTCACCACGGTTCAGGTACTCAGTGGCCAGTGGCTACCGTATCAGACAGATACAGAGCGTTTCCAGCAAGTTCTGATGGACAGCACCTGTCTGTGTGTCCCAGCAAAGTCAGTGACACCGGGAGTAGATTGACGGGTGTGACTTGATGGCACCAGGCAGAGGCACGAGAGGCATTGCCAACATCTTTTTCTGCTCTCTCCGCCTTCAGGGATCTTTTCAACGCCGCGTTTGTGTCCTGCTGGTCTGAACTGAACGAAGACCAGCAGGATGAACTCATCAGGAGCATCGAGCTGGCCCTCACCTCGCAGGACATCGCCGAAGTCACGCAAACTCTCTTAAACTTGGCTGAATTCATGGAACACAGTGACAAGGTGAGACGCTCCGCCGTTGTCCAGATGGAGCCCGACAGGAGCCAGGTGGGAGGGAGAAGTGGCCCGGCCGCCGCGCTCCTACGCTGTGGGTTCTGTTCTGCCCTAGGGCCCCCTGCCACTGAGAGACGACAACGGCATCGTCCTGCTGGGCGAGAGGGCCGCCAAGTGCCGAGCATATGCCAAAGCACTACACTACAAAGAGCTGGAGTTCCAGAAAGGTCCCACCCCTGCCATCCTAGAGTCTCTCATCAGGTAGGCTCGAAACCCTTTTTAATCGCCGCCTTCATCTGAAACGACCTCTCTCCCCTCCGCCGCCTGGTACCAAATCACTGCCGTCACCTGGAGACTTCTGCTCCGTGAAATCGGCCGCCCGGTCCGGCCAGCACGTTTCAATGCGATGTGGTTGCAGACGGCTCTCCCCGCTGTCGGAGCTGTAATTGTCACTTCTGTTAACCCTCAGCACGTGGGCTCCCGTCGTTTTCCAACCTGGGCCTGCTTGTCCCAGGGAAATCAGTCCAGAAGCGATTCCGGGGCAGTAGCAGCCTAGGAGTGATAGATTTGACACGGGGGTTCCATCGCCCTCTCTGGTGGGAGTAAAGTACTGGCTCCACTGCCCCAAGGGCCACTGGTGTTTTGCTGCCCGAGTCTTCCTCCTCTGGGGTTCTGTGAATCTAAGAGGCAGAGCGAAGTCTGAGACTCAGTGATCTTTTCCCCTGGTTTGGTCGTGAATTCTCTCGTAAGACGGTTTTGAGTCTTCTGGGCATGGACAAAAATAGGTTGTTTAATAAATTTTCTGCTGTTACGAAATTAGAAGCAGCCTCAAATGTTAGCTCCAGCTCCCAGAGAACTGTTCACTTCCCCTAATGATTATCAGAGAATATTAACTCTGGGATCTAATTATCTTCATGTAAATGCTAACACGGTTGATTATTTCACTACAGATAGTGTAGGGGAAAATCACCCAGCTAATAAGTACCTCCTTTGTGGCTGAAACAGTCTGCTGTGTGTGATGCTTCCTTCATTTGAGAGAATAATCAAATAGCCAGCTTCCCTGCCAGGCCTGCTTTTGAGTCAATGCTGAGTATTCCTTTAAACACCTTAAAAAGTGACCAAAGGCAAGAGAGTCATGTTTTTGTCCAAGTGAAGTGAACTTGGAGAGACCATTGATTTCTACGATATCACATACCAACAGATATAAACATGCCATCCTCTGGGGTCGGCTTCCATTTCAGATTAGGTCCAGCAGATGTGAAAACCTGCATTTCCCCCCCCCGGCCCCCCCCCCCCGGCTTTGGTAATATTGTCTTCCTTGATAACTGATAGAAAATCTGGCAACTGAATATAATAACCTCAGTGTCAAAGAACCAGTTTTGCGTGTCAATTTCCTTGCTGAGCTTTCTCTGTTTGACAGCTCTCTGAAACCTCCCTGGTGCCACCCCAGGTCTTTCTCCGTATTTGAAACAATCACAGAAGCATTAGTGTGTATCTGGATTTGTAACAGGAAGGTATAGTCAGAGGCCTGGAAAAGTGTCCAAGAAAGTCATTAACTTCTTATGCCAGTATAACTGGAAATGAGTCCTCAGAAATCCCTGCAGACTGATCTTGACTTTAAGAACACAGACAAATAGAAACCTGTGCTCCCCGATGAAGCCAGTGCTCTGAGCTCTGGTTTTGTCCCGGCCTGACTGAGCCGAGTTCACAGTGCCGCATCCCATCTTCCCATAACATCACTTTTGTTTCCACTGGCCGCTTTTCCCACTGAAAACTGCGCTTCCTACGCACCATGGCAATGTTCTGCCATGGTTGTCCCCACAGAAAGTTTTAAGAAACAGGCTTAGGCAAAGGTGCTGTTAGAGAATGTGCGCCCAGCACCACCCCAGTCCTCTAGCTGAGCCTCGTGGAAACCCCTCCCAGGGGTCCCACCGCTGGTGGTTGCGTGTCCCTGAGTTACTGCTTGGGTTCCGTGTTGGAGACACGGCTCCTCAGTGACAGACTGAACTCCCTTCCTCGCCGTGGCTGCCGGGGAGCTCGCAGCTCGGGTCCTGGCCCACCTCTAATAGACTCTAACTTGACCTCTAACAGACTACAGACCCTCGACCTCTTTTGTCTGCTGCCCTCTCTCCTCCCAGCTTTATTTTGTCTTTCCTGCTCTTTCCCTTCACTGTTTGTGCCCTTTCTTAAAGGTTATTCTGGTATATATCTTTGAGTCGACTGCCTTAAATTCTCTTTGAAACAATCAGGTTACCTGTTCACAAAAATGTCTTTGCACAGCTGTTCCTTAGTTTTTGTTTTTGTATTTAAAAGCTGTGCTGTGCTAACAGTACTGTTCTCTTGCTACTGGTCTGACTTCCTACTTCTTGACGTTTCTACTATTTACTCCAGGACAAATTAAACCTCACATGTAATCCTCAAACCAGGCTCACAGTGAGACATTATAAACTACTCCCATCTCCTCAAAGCTTGTATATATCAGTAAGTGTAATTGCTTCATAAGGGAACAGAGGATTAAATGGTATTGAATTATTTGTAAACATACACACACACCGGCTTTTACTTGGTTAGCCTGTAGCATTAGGTTAAGGTCTAGTGCCTGCTGACTCAGGGGGCCGCTGTAACAAATTGCCATAGACGGGGGGCTTAAACAAGAAACACTTTTCACAGTTCTGGAAGCTGGGAAGTCCGAGGTCAGGATGCCAGCACAGTTGGGTTCTGGCGAGCACCCTCTTCCAGGTTGCCCCACGGACGACTTCTCTCTGTGTGCTCAAGTGGCAAAAAGCAGAGAACAAGCTCTTTGGGCTTTTTTTTTTTTTTTAATGTCTGTTTTTATTTTGAGAGGAAAAGAGAACGCGTGAGCAGGGGAGAGGCAGAGAGAGAGGGAGAGCAAGAATCCCCAACAGGCTCTGTGCTGAAAGCACACAGCCCAGCACAGGGCTTGAACTCACAAACCATGAGATCATGACCTGAGCCAACACCAAGAGTTGGATGCTCAACCGACTGAGCCCCCAGGCTGTTTTTTTTTTTTATGAGGGCCCTAATCCCGTTTGTGAGGGCTCTACCGTCATGGCCTGATCACCTCCCAAAGACCCTACTTCCCAATCCCATCACACTGGGAGTTAGCCTTCAACACAGGAATTTGGGGAGACATAAACATTCAGTCCACAGCATTCCTCTCCTGGCCCCCAAAATGCATGTCCTTCTTAAATGCAAAATCCATCCATTCCATCACAACAGCCCCAAAGTCAACCCATTCCAGGATCAGCTCTAAAGTCTCATCTAAATATCATCTAAATCAGGGATAGACTGGAGAATCTAGGTACAGTTCATCCTGAGGCAAAATTTGTCTCTGGCTGCGAACCTGTGAAAACAAACAAGTTACATGCTTCCAGAATACACTGATGGGGCAGTAACAGGAGAGCCATCCCCATTCCAAGAGACACGGGGAAGAAGGAAAGGGTGACAGGTCCCACGCAAGGCAAACTTCATGAGATCTCCGGAGTAATCGCTTTTGGCTGGATTCTCTGCTCTCCAAGCCCTCTGGGTAACGGTCTGCCTTCTGGACCTGCTGGGCAGAGGTCCTGGCCCCACAGCTCCGCCGGCTAGACAGCCCGGTGGTGGCTCTACCCCCACAGCTCTGGGCAGAGTTCACGGGCCTGTTAAAAGCAAGGCAATGGTCCTCCTGTTTGAAAACAAGCAGGCAGCCCTGCTGATCTCCGAATCAACTTCAGGATCATTCTCTTCTTGTTCACAGCCAAATAGCTCCATAGTCCCGCCCTGTAAAATCCAGGAAGTTCAACAGCCTTCCTTCATTCCCTCCTGTCTCTTTGCCCGTCTGTTCAGTGTGGTAGTTTTCCTGCCGGCGTGGCTGATTAGGTCCATGGTTCATGACACCCAGTCCCCTGAGCAAAGCCTCACGTGGCCATACCCTTCGTGCTCTCCCCCAATGCACGCACTCATTTCCCACAGTAGAGATAGGCTGAGAATTTCCCAAATCTTTAAGTCCCGGGTCCTTTTTCGCTGTTGCCTCTCTCCTCTCTCGTTTTACTCTAAGCAGTCAGGAAGAACCAAGCCACTCCTCCTCAGTTTGCCTAGAAATCTCCTCAGCTGATACCCAGGGTCATCATTCGCAAGTTCTGCCTTCCACCAAACACTGCGGCGTTGAGCACAATTCGGGCAAAATTTTTGCCGCTTTATAACAAGGGTTGCCTTTTCTCTATTCCCCGATAACCCGTCTTCCTTTCCGTCGGAGAACTCGTCAGAATGGCCTTTACCATCCTATTTCTATCACCGTTCTGTTCACAACTATGCATGTTCTCTAAGAAGACAGAAGCGTTCTCTGTGGTTCTCTTTTTTTTCTTTCTGAGCTTTCACCAGAATTTGCCTTTGAGAGTCCATTCACGGTAGTCTGGGCTTTCTCTAGCACGCAGCCCAAAACTCTCCCAGCCTCTGCCCATCACCCTGTTCCAGAGCCACTTCGTCGTTTCTAGGTGTTTGGTACAGCAGCACCCCGCATCTTGGTACCAGTTTCCTGTTTCAGTCCATTCGGGCCGCTGTAACAAAATGCCGCGGCCCAGGGGGCTTAATCAGCTTTTGACTTCTCACGGCTCTGGAGGCTGGGCAGCCCACAATCAGGGAGCAGCACGGTTGGGCACTGGTGGCACCCTCTTCCAGGTTGCCACGTTGCCACCTTCTCACTGTGTCCTCACGTGGCTGAAAGCAGAGCTCAAGCTCTCTGGGGTCTCTTTCATAAGGGCCCTAATTGCATCCGTGAGCCACCCCACCCTCGTGACCTAATCCCCTACCAAAGGCCCTGCTTCCGAATACATTGGGAATTGACTTCAACGTAGGATTTGGGGGGGACACACACATTCAGTCCACAGGACCTGCTTCTCACCCAAAGTAGAAGGAAGTGTCTGATCCAAGCTGGATGCTTTCATCCCTGCCCAACCCCTAGCAAGTAATCCCATTTTTTAAGAATTTTCTGACTGAGATTAGCAGAATTAAGACCAAAAACAGGGGCCGGCACTTCCATGGTGGCCGTGCAGCAGCATACCTCGTGGAGGATGAAACAGAATGTGCTTTACTTTCCGGGGTGACACTGAGTTCTCCTTTGGTTCCTGGTGATTCTGTCCTCTTTAGGGCCAGAGACTGTGTTGGCTCCTCTCTGAATCCTTGGTGTCTGTCCTCTGGCTGCACCCGGAGACGTGCTTGGAAAGTGGTGGTTCTGGTCAGAATCTGCACCGTAGGTTAAGTGGCTGGAGGCGTCCTCCAACATTAACATTGTCATGAAAAATTTACACTTCTGTTTACGCAATTGTGTACATGTAAAAATAGGAGTAAGTTTTAGCAACTATAGGTTTGGATTAGGACGGTGTAGATGCTTGGCACCCCAACTTTGTTAAGGAATAATTAATAAATATAATTGTATATATTGAAAATGTACAACATGAAGGCAGGTGCCCGGGTGGTTCAGTCGGTTAAGCATCCGACTCTTGGTTTTGGCTCAGGTCATGATCTCACGGTTCATGGGATTGAGTCCCGCATCCAGCTCTGTGCTGACAGCATGGAGCCTGCTTGGGATTCTCTCTCTCTGTCTCTCTCTCTCTCCACCCCCCCAAATAAATAAACACTTAAAAATAATAATAATAAAATAAAATGTACAACATGATAACTTGATACACATTATGGAATGCTTATCAAGCTCAAGATCATTAACACATCCATCACCTCACATCGTTAACTCGTGTGTGTGTGTGATAAGGACACTTAAAACCCACTCTCAGCAACTTTAAAATGTGCAACACTGACTATAGTCCCCATGCCGTGCATGAGATCCTTGGAATCTACTCATCTTACAGTGGAAAGTTTATGCCCTTCAACCTGTCTCCCCATTTCCCCAGCTCTCTGCACCCCCTGGCAACCATGGTTCTGTTCTTTCTGTGGAATCAGGTGGGGGTTATGGTTTTTGTTTCATTTTGTTTTATTTTTTTAGATTCCACATGTAAGGGATACCATATGGTATTTTTCTTTTTCTATCTTATTTCACTTAGCATAATGCCCTCCAGATTCATCCATGTCATCATAAATGGCAGTTTCCTTCTTTTATATGGCTGAATGATATTCCCGTGTGTGTGTGTGTGTGTGTGTGTGTGTGTGTGTGTGTGTGTGTCTTTATCCACTCATCTGTCACCAGACACCTAGGCTGTTTCCATGTCTTGGCCATTGTGAATAATGCTGCAGTGGACATGGGAATACGGACATCTTTTCAAGATACTAATTTCCTTTCCTTTGCATATGTACCCAGAAGTGGAATTTCAGGATCGTATGGTAATTTTATTTTTAAAAATCTCCCCATCCGCATTCCCACCAACGATGTACGAGGGTTTCCTATTTTCCACATCCTCATCAACGCTTGCTGTCTCTTGCCTTTTTGATAACAGCCATCATACCTGGTATGAGAAGATACCTCATTGGATGGTTTGCATTTCCCTGATGATGAGTGATGTTGAAAACCTTTTCACGTACCTATTGGCCATTCCGCGAATGTCTTCTTTGGGAAAATGTCTATTCAGGACCTTTGCCCTTTTTTTAATTGGGAATATTTACTTTTTTGCTATTAAGTCGTATGATTCGTTTATATATTTTGATATTAACTCCTCACGAGGGGCTATAGATGGCAAATCATTTCTCCCATACTGCAGGTTGTCTTTTCAACGTATTGCTTCTTTGCTGTGCAGAAGCTTTTTAGTTCTAGGTGAGCCCACTTATTGATTTTAGCCTTTGGTGCCTAGAGCTTCAGATGTTTTTTTAGTTGTGGGGTTAGAGGAGATGAGAGAGAGAATTATTAGCTACTTCTGCCAGAGGCGTTTACGCTTTTCCTGCTCTTCTCTTAACCCCCTGATCTTTTTATCCTCACTTTCCAGGCAGTATTGCGCCGGCTGCTGGCACCTCAGACTCCCCGCCTGCCTCGGGGAGTTTGTTTGAATGCCTGTCCTGTGGAATGCCCTGCTGCAGCGCACCTCTTCTGTGCTCACTCTGTTCCTTGGAAAATCCCCGCGTTCTTGTTTTTAAGATTAAATAGGCTCCCAGCAGCCCAAGAACTATAGGTACAATAGGGAACACTGAGTAGGAGTAATGGCTCACCTTACACTGACTGGCTCAAGGGAATGGTTCTTTTTGGCAAGGAAAGATGACTTCCTACCACTCAAAATGAATTTAGCATCTGTTACGGCTGAAGACATGCCCCCTCTCTGTGTTAGTTTGCTCAAGGAGAAAGAAGGTAGGAGTGTTGGTTTGCAAAGTATTTTGAAGCCAGGCGGTGGCATTGGGCTCCGTGGTGATTAGGTGGCTAGATCCGACCTCTCCCCCCGGCTGCTGCCCTTGTCGGCCCCTGCCTTTTCACTTTTTGGCTTCCCTAAAGACTGTAACAAAATCAGTCTCTTTCTCACTGCTCACCCTCTGGTCTTTCCCTTAAGCTTTTTACCTTGCTCTGAATGGTAATGGTGGTAATTTAAAAACCAACACGTTTTAAAAGAATTTATTGTGGAAGGAAAAGGAAACTTCAGATGTTTACAACATCCTACAGTGTTGTATTTTTACAAAGCAAAATGCTTATAAACAGCATGAATCATTAACCATAGTGTCATCTACCTTCATTTTGCAGCCACTTTTATAGGCAAAAGAGGAAGCTCTTTGAGCCCTTTTCTTACAAAGTAAAAAATAAAAACCAATATATCTGTATTGACTGAATACCTTAAGGCAGTTTTGTGAAGCATCCACGAGGGACTTTCCCCACCTCCTACTGGAACACCCCAGCCGCCACTAGACCCACTTCTGCCTTTCAGCACACCGCACCCTGATTGACGTTGAGCAGGGAGGAGGCAGAGGCCTGCCGCCAGGCCCGGGACCCTGGAGATCCCTCCTGGGTCAATCCACTGCCAGCAGAATAATTTTTGCCTTTAAAGAAAAAATGTGTAGACCGAAGGTAATTTCATTGGATTGGATTTAAAACCCGAAACTTCTTTCCCCCGCCACTCCTCTCTTTTATGCCTTCCTCCATCACCCAGGGCCTCTCCTTGAAGATCAAAATCACATGATTCTTTTTAGTAAAGGGGTCTATTTTCTCCCCTCACATAACCTAGACCTTCAACTAAATAGATACAGTGATGTCACAATTACTTTTCTTTCACAGAAAAATCAAGTGGAAAGGAGAGGCTTTGAGTGAATATGTCAGGGATCACAGGCACAGAGAGCCCACTCGGGCCAGGCCCCTGGGAAGTTGTGTGATGGCCCATCGTGTTTAAATAATTCATCCCATTTATGTAACGTCCTTGTCCTCTCAGTTTTATTGTGCTCCCTAGAGACAGACTCTCGTTGGAGATTCTAGGCCATTTTCCGTCCCTACCCTTTCTCCACTCCCTTCCTCCCCTTCCCTGCCCTCACGCAGCCTCCGATTGTCCCCATTTCCCTGGCCGGGGCCCCCCCCCCCCCCCCCCCCGGCAGGCCTGCACTCAGGGCTGGAAGTCTTCCGGGCGGATTTTCATCTCCACGCGCCTGAGGGAGTAGCTCGAGCCATGCCAGCCGTACCACGTGATGCCGTCCAGGTGCTTGTTGTGCTCCCCGAGGCGGTAGTAGACCCCGTTGAGGTTGGAGTCTGTGCAGCAGTTGTACCAGTACCCACCTGGCCCAAGAGAGAGATCGGGGCCGTGAGCCCGGTTCGTCCCCGCCCCGGAAACGGCGGACACACGGGACAGGAGGCTTGGCGGAGCTGCCGTTTGAACCGTAGCTCCGCAGTCAGAAGTGCCAAAGCCAGAACGCCGGGCCATGTGGCTCTAAATCCGGCTTTAAATTGGTCCTTCCCCGCTGGGACCAGCCCCCGAGCCCCCCCCCCACCTCACCTTTGCGGAGCTGTGCACACTTGTCCAGGCAGTTGTCGTTGTCCTTGTCCTTGGTGCTGAAGGCCGTGTTGTTGTGGTAGAGGAGGGCGTCGTTCCCCACGTTGCCGCTGTAGTTCCCCAGGAAGAGGCGGTAGCTGTTCAGTTCGTTGCCCAGAGCAAAGCGGCTGTACTCGGCGTGGCGCAGGTTGCCCTCCCAGTCCTGTTGGGGAGCAGGTGGACCTTAGAGAAGCAGCGCGGGGGCTGTGTTTCCCGCCACGCCACCGGCCTTCCCTCTCTCGGCTCGCAGCCACACGTCCGTCTGTCTGTTTGCGCGGGGGCCCAGCGAGGCTTTATCGCTTGTTTGCCTCTAGCTACCACACTAGGCTTGGGAGTCACAAAACAAGGGTCCCAGAGCAAGGCTCGCTCCTGAGTCGCCATCTGGCCTGGATTAGCCCCTCTTTCTGCATCCTTCCTGTCCCTCTCTGTCTGTGAGGTGTGGGTGTGTGTCTCTCTGTGTCCCACTCAGAGTCACTGGAGAAGGTAGCGGGGCCTCCATTCCCTTCACGACCGTCACCAGTCAGTGTCGATAAGGTTTGCACATAGAGGAGCTCAAGCCCCAGGCCCGAGTGGGGACTGTAGTGTGTCAGCACAGCTGACTGTTGGATCCCCCCGCTCTGGCCCGAGTCCAGCCTCTTGTGTATCTGCAGCCTCGCTTTTGGGAGCAAATAGGAAAAACTCTCTTCTCAACTGCACTACAGCCTGCAGGAAAACCGCCGTAATAAGCACACAAGCCTGTAGTCAGTAAGAGTGGAAAGGGCGCCCCCAGAGTCGTGCACAGTTGTGTGTGGCACCTGCTCCAGTCCTAGGGGCCTTGTGCTCACCTCCATCTCCACACGCAGCCGGGTTGGCCGTCTGGAGAGCCGGTGGATGTGTTCGTTGCCCAGCCAGAAGTCCCCACGGATGCTGCCAAAGCCCTGCTTGTACTGCTTCCAGTCCCGGAAGAAGGAGACGAGGCCACTCTTTCGTCTCTGGATGGTGGTCCAGCCGCCGCCTGACGTCTCCATGTCACAGAACACCTGTGGCAGAGAGGATGCTCTGGTCAGGGACCCACAGAGGCAGGCAGAGGAGCCCGAGGGCGGGCCTCGTCGCCTCCCTCCCATTGCCACAGGGCCAGTGGATGTGTGCGGGCTCACTACGACTCTACCCCAGTGTCAGCGAGCAGGAGTGGGGCAGTGGCTTGCTAAGGAAGAATTGTCAAAATTGAGGAGGGGGGCAAGCGCACGTATAGTTGGAAGAGAAGAAAATCCATGTGTGCTCTCTATGTGTTCTCTCTCATCTCCTTCCCCCAAGAATAACCGCTCTGGGTCGTGGCAAGAGATGTCAACAAGTCGGGTGGAGGTTATAGAATTGTCTGTGTCGGAAGATTTGGTGTTTGGTCAGTAATGATTTGAAGGGGCAAAAGAGATGCTGGGGGAGGGGTTCCCCCCCACAAACTGAGTGTGTGTGTGGATAGCTCTCTGGTACTCGGTGGGTCTGAGTCTCTGTCTTGAGTTTCCCATTCTCTAGACCATGATTAGTCCTGTTGCCCCCAGCCCTGTGAGGGGGCAGAGGACCGATGGTAGAACCCGGGCCGTGGGCTCTGGTGACCTCACCTCCAGCTCAGGGCTGCCCAGAAAGTCATCGGGAGGAAGCTTGTACACCCCAGAGATGCGGTAGTTCTTCTGGTAGAGGGACGAGCAGTCATAGATGGCGTCTGTAATAGGAGCAAACCGCAGGAGTGAGCATCCAAACCCAGGGGCTCCACGGCAGGTGGGCATTCGTGCTCCGTCTCCATTGAAAGTTTGAAAACTGAGATCTCGTTTCTACCACGCAATTCACACGAGTGTTCATTACTAGGCAGGGTCTGGGTTTTGGAGGGGTGTGGCCATTGGGAGACCAAAAGGAGGTGTCTTTTGGCTTCATTGGTGGTGGGGAAGCCCTCACCTGGATAGCAGCATCAATGGGACCATCAAACAGGTGGTTTCAGGTTAACTCTGAAATAGATCATCCTGCTATGTTCTGTTCTTCTAGGCCACGATCTCTGGGAACATTACAGTGTGCGAGGGCCATGTAATAGATGCGCCTGTTTAATAAATTCCACTTCTGGGACCGCTAGCCTCTCTTACCATGTACGTTATGAGCATCTCATAGGGTCTGATTTTGTTGTTTTCTTGGTTTATTTGGGGGTGGGGGTGGTTTTTCAGAGGGAATGGCTATTTCTACCTTTGAGAATGGCTATTTTTGTCTAGATTGCCTACAAGGACCCTAATTAAGGGAGATCAATTTAACATCTTCTTCCCCGAACCACCCCCCCCCCCCCGCGCCCCGCTGCTTCGTCTAACACTGCTCATTCCTCAAACGGAAGTGCAAACACCCTGAGGAACCCATGGAGGCCTCCCCTGGCAGCATTATTAAAACAAGCAAACCAGAGCATCGAACAGGCTGGTGTTCACCCTGGGGTTGATTTAAACGCTTCCTTGGCCATCTTAGGGCTACAGCTTTGTGCCAGATTTTGTCTCCAGCTCTCAAATATCAAAGAAACCGCCTTTCCTGATGGGATTCAAAGAGCGGGAACTCTTGCTGTCCAGGAGACGCTTCCTGTCCCCTGTCTCTGGGGTTCTTTTCTCGGAGGCCCCTGCGCTGGGCCTTCGAGAAGAGCCCTTCGAGAGACGCTCACTGCCACCAGGAACTGTCCCAGGCAGAGCACATTGAGGGAGGGGGAGATGTGTGCCTTCGCCATCGGCGTCCTTTATTTTCTGTTACTGAGGAGAGCGTCAACTTACTGCTTTCTCCGATGAGCTACCTGCTTAGAGAGTCTAAAGGTGACCCAGCAGCTGGCAATCGAGAAGAAAACGGAGGAAGGATGTCCTGGGCAAGAAGAGTAGGAGGCCCAGCAGGAGAGCTGCCTTTGACCCCCAAGAAGCTCCCTGCTGGGAGGGGAGAAAACCCCAGTTGGAGGAGTAGGAGGCGGCACAATCAGAGTCCCGCCTGGCCTGCTCTGCCGCGCCAGGCCAAATCGGGACGCGCTTGTCTGGAAAATGTCCTGAGGATACCTTCCTAGTCCCACACTGAGGGGCAGGAAGTACATGCTTAGGAAGTGATTTTCACATGGTGGTTTATTGGGTAACGGGCCATTTAAGCTTATTTCACGTTACAGCTTTTTCTCCGTTTGAACTGAGAGTCATCAGTGACTCACTCTCTTCTATTTCTTGACTTGGTCTATGATGTGACCGAAAGTTTTTACATCAGTAATAAATGACATATCTGTAGGATATTCGCCTGACAAGTAACGATTTCCTGATGATCTCAGAAACCCCAGTTTCTTCTCTCTGAGCAATAAATTCACCTTAGCCGGTCTGAGCCAACCTAACTAGAAACCAGAAGTTATTTTAGGAAAGAAAGCATTGGATGTATCTTACGTGGGGGGCTTCCAAAAATCCAGATTTCAGCATTGCATTTTCTTATTTGCTGTAATGGGAGAATTTTAGTTGAGATCCTGAGGGAAAATAGAAATCTCAGAAGTGAGGAACCTCGAGCCTCTCCTTCCTGACCCAAAGGAATTCTTCTTCTGACCCTAGGCAGCATCTATACCTAATTCTGAGCCAGTGGGCAGAATCAGGTTTGCAGAGACAGGACACAAAAACCCATTAATGCCCATTCCACTAAATCTTAGGGACACAGGAGAACTGTTTTTGGCAAAACTTGGTTCCTACAACGATAGATGTTACAGTTTTGGTGCTCAATCCTGCTTCCTTAGGACTGTGGGTACAGCCTGTCGGCTCTGGGTGAGGAAGCGAACCCATCAGGGAGACTTAAACCCTGTTTCTAAGGCTTGCGATGTGACTCTGGGCAAACCACGTCGTCCCTGTGCGCTCCGGGATGGGGATTCATACCTTCCTTATGCTGAATCATGGTGTGAGTAAAGAGACTGTGCAGACATTGGGGAAATTGACAGAAATTTACAGAACATTAGAGCCGGTGGCACGTACCCAGGAAAATACACCCCCAAAGAACCCCCCAGTCATCATTCTGATGGCCAAGCCATCTAGAAACCATGCCACACAGAGACGCTCCGGTGTTTGAACGAGAAGGTGGCAAGTAGCGTGAGGACACGTTCTCCTTACCTGCCGAGGTCTGGGTGACAGTCTGTGCTGCCTGTAGCTGCATAATGTCAATCTGGTTGTTCATTTCCGAGTACTTGCTCTCCGCGTCTGTGAGCCGTGACTCCATGCGCTTGGTGCTGCTCTCCAGCTCCATCACCTGCATGACCACGCTGACCCAGTCCCTCTCCTGCTTCTCGCTCAGTTCGCTCAGCAGACTGCTCAGATTGGCAATCTGGGCCCTGAGCTCCTTCGCCTCCTCACAGCAGGCGGCCGCCTTGAGCTGCGCGGGTGTCTTGCGCTTCGGGGGCTTCTGTGGCCACGCTGGGTGGCTGACAAAGGCCGTGATGAAAATGCAGAGCCAGGTCATAGCTGAGAGAGTCTTTTTCAGCATCTTTCGTGGGCCTGGGTGGGGAAGGATCTTCCTTTGGGGGATCTGGATATGCCCGGCTGAGGTCTGCAAAGCTGCAGCAAATTACAACTGTGCACTTTCACTCCGGATGGGCTCACCACCCTGTTGCTTTCTGTCCTCCCTTGCTCTTTCTTAGCCTTTCTCAAAGCTTGGGTTTAAAAGTGCAGCCTAACTGGGCTCCCTGTACCTTTCTTCCCAAGCCTGAACGCTCTACAAACTCAGCATCTTAAATATTGTTTGCTGCCTGCACCTCCACCCCCACTGTGGCCGTGCATGGTGCCTTAGCCCCTCCCAGCTCATCTGGGAGGGTCAGGTGCCTGTTGGGTGAAGTCAGCGTAAACTTAGGCCAGAGGGGAGGAGGGACACAGGGGCGAGTCTTTCTTTCCTTGCCTGCACAGTCTCTGGGCTGGGACAAGAGGACTATGAATTTGTGTGTTTCCAATTTCGCCTGGTAGATTATGCCCCTGCCAGCCACTGGCTCAGCTCTATCAGCGAGCAGGGCAGGGTCGGAAGAATTTCCAAATTCCGTTCTAAAGGTTACATAACCGTGGGGTGAGCGTAAGGTAGGCAAAGAGAATTGGGAATACGACTCCCGCTCACCCAGGGAGGCCTGTTAATGTAATCCATGCTGTTTATATGAGGATCTGGTAGATTTTGGCATCCTGCTGAGTGTGCTCTTAACAAGGCTGGTTATTCCTTTCTCTGATCATCACTCAGAGAATGATGTTTTACAAAACCCTCGTTCCGCCTAGATCTAACACTGTCACGGTGGAAAATCTCCAACTTAGAAGGGCTCTAGAAATAGAAAGAGTAAGCATCTTAGGAAGCAAAAAAAGGCTTTGTGGTTTGTATCCACAGGATTTGCTCAGTCATCTTTCTTCTTACGTACTTCCTTCTTCCACAAGTGGGCCCGTATTGGCTCCTCGCACGTGGCATTTGACAAGGAGGTGTCGGAGAGGACGGCAGGGACAAAAACTCAGGAGTGCCGGACACGGTCCTGGCACGGTCATGCCGATGTACTTCCGTCCGTCTGTAGGCACAGCGGAGAACAGGCCCATCCTTGGCCCGTGATTCAAAACTTGGAACGTACATTAAATCATAGGGAAAAGAATCTCTGTCACCTAACCCATATCGACAGTCTTATGTCCCTCTTCCTGTACAACACAGTTTGCAAATCTGAAGCTCTTCTCTATATCTGATGTACGTCCCTGAAAATAGGCATGCTGTCACTTCTCATGTATTGGAACGGAAGGGCACTACTCCTTTGAAAACAAATGGGAAAAACCTGGGGCTTCGGCAAACCTTAAATACTTAAAATGAGCTTTTCACTGAGAACGAATACAGAGGCCTCTCCAGAGATCCTTAAGCAGTAACTGCCTCTGTCTTTGGAACGTGCTCTTTCTGCTTCCATGTTACAGAGCCACCGAGGCAGACCTCTTCCTGTTGCTGTTCCATGTGGGTCCTTCACACACAAGCCTGGTGCCCGACAGCCCTCCTTCCCTGCCGTGACCCCCGGAGTCCCTTTACAGGTGGCACTTCTGGCTTCAGAAAGTCATTTCTGTTCAGCAGCTAGAGTTACCAAGCAGGTTTTCTCCCCCCCTTTAAATCACTAAGCGGTTGTGGCTCAGGTGTCCCAGGGTTCGTTTTCTCCCTTCCTGAGTCCCCTTGCCTACTGAGGGGTGAGGGTGTGGCTGGCCCCCCACAGCAGCTTGCCATTCCTCTCAGAAGAGCCTGTTTAGAATTGGCAGCCAGTCCCCGCTCTTATTTCGCAAATACCCAGCCCAGCTGGGCACTGCGGTCTCGGCCACATGGAGTTCATTTCACTAACACGAACCCAGCCCCAACCATCCGCATCCAACGGCCTCCTGAACCCGGTGAGGATCTTCACGTCGATCTCCCAGCCATCAGCTGACACTGAGCTTTTGCCCTGTGCCACACAGGCATGTGGAGCATCCTTTGTGACCCTGCCGTCCTGGTGCTCCCCCCGCAGCAACGTGATAGAGAAAGGATCAGTGGAGCTTTATGGATTCCCAGCCAACTTTCTGTTTGTTCTTCCCAGTGGCCACTTCCCCGGCCCAAACAGGAAATTGTTACGAATAGATTTTCATATCTGGGCAGAAAGTGAATCAGTCATTTGTATTTGCAGCCCATGTAGCAATCCCTTCTGGGGGTTCATAGGTTTGGATCAGAAGCACCTAGCTGTTAGCATGAATGCCTACTCTCTGACATTTGTTTGCTGAAAGCCTATTTCTAACATGAGGTACAAGTTAGAGACAGAAGCTTTCCTTATTTGAAGATTTTCTTAAATCACCTAAGCTGCCCAAATGTCAATAGCCCTCCCAATTAAAAAACAAATAGCAAATTAAGAGTGTTTCCCCTGCCGGAAGATTATCAGTCCTGCATACATCCACAACCCTGCGATGTCCTAGATTCCGAGTTTCTGAAAGAAAGAAAAGTAAGCCCTTGTTTTGAGTACAGCTAAGCCAGTGGAGAAAACCAGGAAGAATGTGGAGGACGAGACCAGTTTTCCCTTCTCCAAGAGGCTTTTACCTTCTCTGCCCTTCAGTGGATAAAGTGACCATAAAAATGGGAATTAACTGAGAAAACAAGGAAAGCCTGTGTTGGACATCTTGCAGTTTTTCCTTTTCTCTATTTTGCTGCTGGTGAAAGAGGCTCAGCTTGGTGTTCCTGGGGAAGGTGTTTGTGAAAATCAAATTTATAGTCTTAATGAGAAAAAGCCAGTGAGCTTTTACTTAGCCTGGAAGTTCTCAGAGACTTCACAGTCTGGGCCGTACTGCCTTGGGCTGGCACCAAGGACGGGAAGCCTCCAGCAGCCTGAGGATTACAGAGCTTGGGTAAGACCTAGAGGTGGTCTCTCCTTCCACGCAAATGGAGCGTCATGTCGCATTGTCTCGAAAACGTCCCGATTGGAGAGCCTCCTCCTTTGCTAATATATTCCTGCCCCTGCCTGCCCTTAAACCACCACTTGCACAGTTGGTGAGGGAAACAGCTACCCTTAGAACCGGACTCTCAGTTTGTGGCATGAGTACATCTCAGAAGAACCTGCCTGCCTTGTTGTTAGTTTAATAGTGTTCTTTATGGGGATATTTTACTTCTCCTAAAGTCTTAGTGAGTCACGGCTTTGCCTTACTGTATGCGGCCATTTAATACCCGACGCTTCTTCTTCCTTTTTTTTTTTTAATGTTTATTTATTTTTGAGAGAGAGACAGAGTGCGAACAGGGAAGGGACAGAGAGAGGGGGAGACGGGAGACACAATCTGAAGCAGGTTGCCGACTCCAGGCTCCGTGCTGTTAGCACAGAGCCCGACGCGGGGCTCGAACTCACAAACCGCGAGATCATGTCCTGAGCTGAAGTCGGACGCTTAACCGACTGAGCCACACCCACGTGCCCCAATACCTGACACTCCTGTCGCTCAGTCCTATTTCTGCCTCATTTAAATGCCACCCACCCCAGGAGGCACATCCATCTCTTCCCTAAGTCTCCTGATCTGCCACTTGTACCAGAGTGCATTCTGGACGTGTTAGAAATCGTTTCTCTTGTGCTTCCTTCTAGAGTCTATTGTTTCACGACAGCACCTAGCAAGAGAGTCTGTCTCTGTGCTCAGACTTTGTAGCAAACGTCTGTTCTGTTAGCCAGCATGTAAATTGCAGAGCACCGTTAACAATGCCGGCCCAGCCTCAACTGCCTCACTGTCCAGGTGGAGAAACAGACAGCTGAGCTCTGGGACAGTGTGACATGCTAGGAGAGGGACACAGAGGAGGAGGAGTGCCCAATTCAGATGAGGTCCGGAAGGCCTCCCAAGGGGAGTGCTACCCAGGTTTCACAGAGAAAGGAGGAGGTAGCCAGGGGTGGGAGGCGGGCATTCTGAGCAAGGTGCAGCTTTGTGAAAGACCTTGGCTTAGTAGGAGGACGTAAGTAGTTGAGTGTGGCTTAAGAGTCAGGGGCGGAGGACAGTAAAGCCAGAGAGGTGGAGGGGAGCCAGGCCTGAGGGCCCCGAGGAGTCCACGTGAGGGGCGTGATTGCTACTCTGAAGACAGACGAGTCTCTGGAAGGAATCTAAGCAGCTCCTTACCCTTGTTGCTCCGTTTTCCTGAGTCTCACCGGGAAAGCGGCTTTTTGTACTTGCCCCACAAGATTTTTAACTGGAAATGGGACGGCCTAGAACATCCAAATTTCTTGAAATTGTAATGCGTTCATATTAAATGCCCCGAAGGGATCATCTGGCTTGAAGATTAAGGAGGCGGTATATGAAGGACTTGAAATAGTTGGGTCTAGAATCAGACAAATCTGGGTTCTAATTCCTTCCCATCATTGGTAGTTCCATGACCCTGGGCAAATTATTTCTCTGAGTTTACAGATCTGTGCAGTGGTGATGCAAATCCTAACTACTTTACCTCACAGGATTTCTGGTTCAATAAAGCAAAGGATTAAAAATAGTTAAGGCGGGGCACCTGGGTGGCTCAGTTGGTTAAGCATCTGACTTCAGCTCAGGACATGATCTCACCATTTGTGAGTTTGAACCCCGCATCAGGCTCTCTGCTATTGGCTCAGAGCCCACTTCATATCCTCTGTCTTTCTCTCTCTCTCTCTCAAAAATAAAATAAACACTTAAAAGATAATCATAAAATAAACAATAAAAATAGTGAAGGCATTTCTGAATAAGATAAATAAATTTGGAGGAATTAAACTACGAGAAATCAATATTTATCATAAAGCTACTGTAAGTGATTAAAGGCAGTGTAGTGGTGGCACAAGGCTAAACTCACAGATAAATGGAGCGGAATCAAATGTCTGGAAACACACGCATGTGTGTAGACACTTGATTTTTGACAAGGTGGCACCACGGAACACTGAGGAAAGCACAGTCTTTTCGGCAAGTTCTTCCAGGTCAGCTAGGTAGCCTTATGGGGAGAAGAGGACTCTTGACCCTTACCTCACACCACACATAAAACTTCAAGTTCAGAGGAGGCTTCCGTTCCACATGTGGAAGGTAAAACCAAAGCTTCTAGAAGATAACATAGGATATTATCTTCGGCATCTTGGGGGTAAGCAAAGATTTCTTAAACAAGATACAAAGAGCACTAACCATACAAGAAAACATTATCAAATGCAATAGAAGGAGTCATCTCTGTTCATTAGAAGACACCACGAAGAGAGCGAAAAGGGAGGAAGATTATCTCCAATAGATATCTTTGTGTTTATTGCATCCAGAGTAT